GGGGAAGGGAGGGAAGGAGAAGGATTGGGATTGCGGGGGAGGGGGGAGGCTGGGAAGGGATGTGAAGGGTAAACAAAAGGAGGAGGCTTCAATGCTTGGTAAGAAATGTTCGCATTATCCTGCCCATGTAATTGTAACCCCTCTGTATAGTATGTTCACAAATAAAATAATAAAAAAAATTATCTGTAAGGAAGCTGGGTGATGGTGTAATTAGAGGCTTAGATCTCAGGATTGTGTTTCAAAGCCAGCCTAGGCAGGAAAATCACTGAGACTACTATCTCCAATCAACTGCCAAAAAAGCAATATTGGATCAAGGAGCTAGAGTGCTAGCCTTGAGTGAAAAGGCTGAGGGATAACACTCAGGCCCTGAGTTCAAACCCTAGTACTTGCGGACACCCACACCAACACCCACATTCATACATTATCTGTAAGACACAAAATATGTCATTTCTTCATATTACCTATGCTGATACAAACTGACAGGTTCACTCTAATGTATGCATCCTGGAGGCTGAACAGTTTGGTAGCTTTCCACAGGATGTCCTCGCGTGTCTGTTGCAATGGCTGGCACTTTGTCCCTCCTGCTTCCCTGCATTCTCCTCAGTATTAGGACCTGCACCTTGCTCACCATATCCCCAGACTCATATGGAGGCTGCGGTAAATACTAACTCACTGTAAATGAAGTACAAAAAATGACAAAGAGTACTAAAAAGAGCAAATTTTCTTTAACATGTCTGAAAAGCAAAAGAAGACCAACACAATTAGTTCTTTTTTTTTTTTTATGAAACAGACTTTGCTGTCCAAGGTCAACAAGCACTGACTTGCTATCATCTTACATGGCTGTCAAATGCTTTGTGCTTCAGTTCCCAGTACAGGGCTGATGGTAGCCCTTCGCTCATAGGGTTAGTGTTCAATAATGATTATTGTTTAAGGCTAATGGATAATATATATGTATACACACATATACATGGACACACATGTATACAGATACATGCTGGTCTTTGAGACAACAGTCCACCAGCAGTCACCAGCTCTCCAATAAAGTGGTGGCTCCCCTATTTCTTGTAACTGAGTTCTCTTACCACATTTGGAAACTACAGATATATGCCTCTGTACATATTCATATATATATATATATTTACATATACTTATACAGATATTTTTATGTATGTATATTATCATTATAATTTTTTTTTCAGGCGTGGGGCCTGAACTCTGGGCCTGGGCACTGTCCCTCAGCTCTTGAGCTCAAGGCTAGTGCTCTATCACTTGAGCCATAGTGTCACTTCCAGCTTTTTTCTACTTATGTGGTGCTGAGGAATCGAATCTAGGGCCTCATGCATGCAGGCAAGCGCTCTACCATTGGGCCACCTTCCCAGCCCAGAATATTATTTTTTGCATGACTGGGGTTTCAAGTCAAGGCTTCACTCTTGCCAGGCAAGCACCCCAGCTCTTTTTGTTTTCATTATTTTTAAGACATAGTGTCTTATAGTTTTGCCTGGGCTGGCCCCAGATTATGATTTTCCCATCACTGTCTCCTGCATAGTTAGGATTACAGGTGTGTAGCACAATGCTCAATGCCTAATCTTAAAAGAGATCAATGCTGCCTGGGGAGTTGTTGGAGACCCAGAGAATGGAGGGGCAGTGCTGGTGAGCTGGTGAGCTGTACCCTTGAATACTTACTGTGGCCGCCACGTTGATGTTGTATTGGTTGTCATTCAGGAGAGGCTGCACAGTCACAGTTGCATTGCACTGCAGGTCATGCAGGGAGGTGGCTGCTGCTTCCAATAAGAAGGCTCCAAAGTAGAAGACAAACACTATAAAATGGTAGGCAAAATCCTGGGAGACAGAGGATTATTTTTTGTTGGTATGTTTTCTGCACTTTATTTCACTTGATGCGTAGAGAGCACAGAAGATGTCATCAAGCAACTTTAACAGTATTCATTGCTTATTTTGCATTGAATTCTAAGTGGAAATCAATGAGCCCATTGTATTTGGTATAGTGGCAAACCTGATGTAATAAATGTTTTAGTAAAATATATGATGGTAATTTTGATTAAGATGCACAGATCATATTAATTAACATAGGATTAACAAGGAATGACATGCTGTCTTTAAAGTTCAAGAAATATATCATGTAAATTATATAATTTTATTATAGTTACATATAGCCACACTTCATTCTTATGTAGCACATTTTAGTTACCCATTCATTCATTAATAGGTTGATTTCATATCTTGGCTATCGCAAACAGTCACTTGGACATGTTGATTTCATTTCCTTTGGATGCATACTCTGCTATAGAAGGCTGGATTAGACTGGCGATCTATTTTTCAGTTTCAGAGAAACCTCTATACTGATCTCTGAAACACCTGTACTAAATTTCCCATCTCACCAATAGTGTCCAAAGATTCCATTCAAAGTCTACTTTTCTCAACATTAGAGACTGCCTTTATTATTGATAGGACAACATTATAAGAAGGAATATTGTACTTCCTTTGTTAATGTCCCATGCAGTCCACAGAAGTGGAACTTTGTCCACAGAAGTGTTCTTATGCCTAGAATCATGAGTGAAAAAAGTTATCTTATCACAGGTGAAAATGTCAAAAGCATACTGCTATTAATGCTTTCTACTGAACACTTCATTTATGAACTGATTCACTGTTGCCTTCCAAAGACTGAAGAACACTGGCCACATGTGTAAGTCACAGGAGATGCTCAAATACATGTGGCTGTGTAACCAATGCTTATCTGTGCAGGTCAAACTCCAGATCATTAGAGTTGGATCACTGCTTTTGGAGATTAAATGTAATAGATATAATTAGTTGAAATAACTGAGAACTGGGGCTCATTAAGCACTTTAACATACTAAGGAGCCTCTTACTCAATACCTATCCTTCCATCTTAAAGATAAATTCTGGTGATGTGGCCTCCCACTGTTGCATGATCTGGCCTGTATCTTTTTCCCTAGCTGACATCTTGAGTGTCAACCACTTTGGCCTCATTTTGGGCCCTAGGACACAGTCTTGAGGAACACCTTAAGCTTCAGTGGACAGGAGGTAAGCTACAGCCTCTGAGCTAAGGCTACATTCTTCCTTGGCAGCCCCTAAATGAATCAGCACAGTGTGTCTACCAGTGGTTGCTGACTTGTGCCCAACACAAGACCTGAAAGGGAAGGCTATGCTCTGGGGTTTTTCACTCATGAGTTGGCTAACATCACACCCAAATCTGCCTTATTCTACTTACTTCTGCATTATCTTTTCTGGAGTGCTCTCTTCTCCCTCCACGTAATACAGGAAGAACAACAACAAAAAAAAGAGAACCCTCTTGCATTTCTAAATGTTTTTTATGAGGCCATCTTCTCTGCAGTGGGCTTGAGATTACACGGTGCTTCTCTAGTATGTATTTCCTTCTTTGTCATTACCAAAGTCTAATCAGCACTAGTTGAATGATCATTCCTTTACTGCTGTTTTTACTTCTAGACCTGGTATACCATTGTATATCTAGGCAGGATTCCCAGTAAATATTCCCGACAGGTAGAGAGCTAGACCACAATGATATCTGGCTATCCTGGGTCTTTTATTCCAACTCCTACTGTGCATGAAGTAGGCACACACAAAAGATCTTCTGCCTGACACACATTTTTGGATAGGCCAGGTCCTTTATGCTAAATTGGAGGTTGGCAAGTAATTCTATGCCTATGAACTTCCTGTGGAGCTTAGTCAAACTGTAACTCTGGAATTTCTGACTTAATAGACTAGATTAAACCCAAGAATGTGGATTTCTGATGTGATTCCAGTTGATGGTGATGTTCTAGTCAGAGACCAATCTCAAGACTTATGTACCCTAGAGCAGGACCCTCTTGTCTTCAAACAATTTTAGCTTCAAACATTACTTGGATTTTTTTTTTGTCAGCAACAAGTGACAACTTGCACATTCTAATCTTTAGCCCATGTTGAAATTCTGTTCAGGGTAAGATTTTAGCCAAATAGTCAGGAAAAGAAAGACAGCTTCACTGTATATGAGGGAATACTGGTTACATAACAGTGGTGTGGAGAAAGGGTTGACAACACTTTGATAGATTTTTCTCACTGTCTATCAAGAATGACAATAAACACCTGCCACCAATTTCAAAATATTGTGACAATGATTGACAAGTACTCATTGTCTTCCTCATGTAACTGTAACCCCTCTGTACAGCATCTTTACAATTAAATAAAAATTTTATAAAAGAAGTGGATGGGGTGGGGCGGCAAACACAGATCAGGATGTTTACAGTGTTAAATGATGTCTATAACAGGAAAATAATCAAATGTGGATCAGTTACCCCTTTGAGGAATAAAGGAAAACATGTTTAATTATACAGCATTTTTCATCAGCTCTTAATTTTCTAGAAGACCTCTTCCTTAGCATACATCCTAAAAAGGGGGAAGATATAAAATATGGAGTCTTTTCTTCAAAATTAGGCCAAATACTATTTTTTTTTTGGTCCGGTCATGGGGCCTGAACTCTGGGCTTAGGCACTGTCCCTCAGCTCTTCAGCTCAAGGCTAGTGCTCTACCACTTGAGCCACAGCGCCACTTCCGGCTTTTTTTTTCCTTTTTGCATATGTGGTGCTGAGGAATCGAACACAGGGCCTCAGGCATGCAAGGCAAGCACTCTACCACTGAGCTACCTTCCCAGCCCGCCAAATACTATTTTTGTTCTTTACAAAACAAACAATAACAGCACCTGATAATTTCAACATCAAAAAGCTTTTCTTCTTTTGGTTAGAATGCGAAAAATTTTAGCTTAATACTGAACATGGTACCTAGTGCTGTGAATATGAACTTAGTTGAATGATCAATAAAACAAAAATATTATAGTAGGTATTCTTTAACAAATACTTGTACAAAATGAATCAGTAAGCCAGGCCCAAAGAAACATAGGTCCCATGGTTTCCCTTATTTGCAATAACTAGTATATGTCTGAGTCAAGCAGAAAAGGTCAGAT